TATATATATATATATATATATATATATATAAGCCTTTGCTAAAGCTTTAAGATTTGTATTATAGTAACTAAATAATTTGACATGTTTTAGGAAATAAAAAAAATTCTTGTTGGTGAGAATCTATAGAAAACAAAGTAGAACACAAATTGTCTTAGGGAAATTTGAAATTATAGTTTAAAAAAAAACATTTATTTAACTTTAACTATTAGATGTGACCATAAAACTCAAACTAAATCCTTGATTTGAAAATAAAATATAGTTTTTTTCTTTTGAATGCCATGTTTAACCATGAAAAATGAAACATTGCCAAGTTAACTGCCTTAATGTGCATAAATATCAAACAAGGTAAACACTATACTTCTGAAACAGATATTCTTGCTTGAGCAATATATGAAAAATGTGCTATTGAAGCAAAATGTCCAAAGACTCTAAATGGAGCAAAATTTTATTTTTCATGTTTAAATAGAATATATTTATAGTTTATGAGATTTAGATTATGTCTCCATCTTGTGTTTTATCAAATGAACTGCTGCAAGAACGAGACCCTGTTTTTTTTACAGCTTTAAAAAAAAAAAAACTGCATGTAACGAGGAAGTCTTTTACAAAGTACATTACAGGATTTATTCATTCAACTGAATAATATGTCAAAATTAAATCAACGTATCTATAAATTCTACATAAAAAGGAAGTGGTGGAGGTGTCAGTAACTTGGTGGCATGAGAGAAGAGTGTTGGAACATTTAAAATTGAGCAACAGTTTCTGATCTGCAACAGGAAATGGCACGAAACATTTCACACAACCCAACAAAGATGCCACAGCTACAGTCCTTTTGTCCAGATGTTTAGAATATCATCACTTTACAATTGTCAACTTCAAGCCAAGAATTAACTAAACTCCATCCATGCATCCATTATCTTTACCCGCTTCTTCTTTTCCAGGTTTCCGAAGGTCGCTGGTGTCCATGCCCAGCATTCTCTGTGTGAGAGGCGGGGGACACCCTGGACAGGTCTCCAGCTGGACACATAGAGATTAACAAGACATACAACCATTCACTCTCTCACTCACAGGGACAGTTCTCAGCCACGTGAAGAAGAATAAGACATTAAAGTAAAGTTGACATTAGATTTTGGTCATCTCCTTTCCGCTGCTGGTGCTCTTGGTGTCATTGTTGGTGACATTCCCCTTGGAGTGTGGCTCCTCGGTGATGAAGTGAAGGATGTTGCGCAGCGAACGGTTGACGCTGTCTTTGAAGCTTCGGCCAATGCACACATAGATCAAAGGGTTGATGCAGCTGTTAAAATAAGCCAAGCAAAGTGCCAAGGTATGTGCTATGTAAACCCTTGGGCTGTGGGAGGATGTCAAAGGGGTGTTCAAGGTGATGAAATCCATGATGTGCAGGGGGATCCAGCAAAGGAAGAAGCTCAGCACCACGGTGACGATGACCTTCACGGTTCGCTTGGAGCGAGTCCGACCCCGTGATAGCCCCCTCTGAGTGCTGCGGTACACCATAAGGTGACAGAAGATAATAACCAGGAAGGGGAGGATGAATCCCACCATGAAGCGAAAGGCGGCAATGAACCAGATTTGTCTTTTAGGGTACCCAATCAGGCACTCTCTCTTCTCTTCCCCTGCCTCGATGTGCCGGGCGTAGATGAACTGAGGGATGCTTCCGAGCAGGGCGAGACACCACACCACCAAGCACATGAAAGCAGCATATCTGGGTCGCCTGTTGTTCTGACACCAGATGGGTTTTTTCACTAGCATCAGGCGATCCAGGCTGATCAGAACCAGCTGCAGGACGCTGCAGTACATCACCAGGTAGAACAGACCTTTGACCAGCGTGCAGGCCAGCGGACCGAAGTGCCAGTGGTCGTCATGGACAAGAGGGACCATGAGCAGCGGGATGGAGAGGCAGCACAGAAAGTCAGCCAAAGCCAGGTTGAGGAACCAGATGGAGGTGACGGAACGGGTCATGCAGAACCCAGTCACCCACAAAACCACAGCATTACCTGGGACTCCCAGTAGGGCCACAAGCCCATAGAAGACGAGAGTCATAATTTGGATGGGTTGAATCTCAGGAGTTATAAACAGCGTCTCGTTGTCAAAGTCTATTAACCCGTCAGTAGAGTTGTAATTTAGAAAATCCATTTTTCATTCAAAGCTGTAGGTGTAAAAAAAAATAAACACAGAACGCATTATTACAGACGACAAAACCTAAAGCTGTTTGGTTGAAACAAATATATTTCACATTTCCAGTTCAAACTTCCCTAAATGAATCTAAGCAGCTGTAATAAATTATCCTTTTTAAAAGTTTCAAAATAAAGTGTTATAATTAAATGTAATCGATCTTTCAACTGACCTGGCTGTTGACGTTGCACTCTCACTGTTAACAAGAAGTTAAGGAACAGCTTCTATGCTTTTTGCATTTTATAACCCCAACCCCTTTGCATGTGCACACACACGCACACGTGCACGCACACGCACAAGAGCAGTTGCACAAAGTTTCTCACATTACTCCTGTTTTCGTCTTAAAGATTGGGTCAGTGTGATTAAGTACAGAGGTTTAGCAAATTGTAACATTTTAAACATTTTAAAGCAAATTTAAGAGTTGTTCGTTTCACAGTTTGATCAGGTCATAGCTGCTGTAAAGATAACTCAAAACAAAGTACAGCTAACTTTCAGCAAAGGTATTTTATTGTTTTGTATTTAATGTACATATGAATACATTCTTTAATTCAAAGAGTACTTTCATGATTTTCATGTATTTTCACATCCATGTTTTGACGGTCATCTTTTCCATGATTCTTCTTCTTTTACTTCTGCTTTCGTGCTTCAGTTCATCCGATAAACATCATTTAGGGTTATTGTCAGACAACGGTTAACAAGAAAATGATTTTTCATTTTTCCTATTACTGTAAACGAAACTAGCCACACAAACAATGACTTTGATGGTCAACCTCAGATCTTCTTACATGCGCAGTAATTACTTATGTGGTTACAATTTGCATAAACACGTGGTTAACGCAAAATTTATTTCATACAGTCGGAACGCAAATTTGTAATTCTCAAATTAAAAATATAAATTTTAAGTAAATTCAGAAATTCCATAAGCACAAGTCATTAAAAATGAACTTGTCTTTACATTTTTAAACCATCTGAAAGCCTGTTGTGACTGGAGCAGCTCTCCTTTTAAGTCCAGCAGCAAACACAGTTTACCGTGTTTCACTCCTCAAACTGAAGAAGTGAACACGTGACTATCATGATAAGCTACATACAACACAAGAAAGACTTGAGACAAAGGATGAGCTACGTCTGCGTTAAAATGAGAAACGACGTACAGAAAAGCAGCAAAACATGAATTAAAGTAAAGCAAATTTTCCCCAAGAAGTCCCCTTCATGTGTGCGTTTTGTCACGTTTCTGTTTACCACCTGGTAATGTTTTGCCACAGTTGTTGCCACAGTTCATGTCAAGATGTTTTCTTCATATGGTGAGGAGGAAGAGGTGAACAGAATCAGATGAAGGATGGAGCGCTGCTGGGTGGGAGTGTTGGTGTGTCATCTCTGAACGCATCCGACTGAAGGTCTGTGAAACAGCAGCCACAGCGTGGTTAGTTTGTCGCTTAAAGCATTTCGCAATCATGGTGTCCATAATTACCATGTGAGATTTTAGCATTATTATTACCCATGGTCACAAACACTGAATACAAGGACAAGCAATACATGTATATATTCATCAAACATATCGTTGCTTTTTAAAATTACAATTAAAAGGAGCCAGCAGGGGAAACAGTTAAAAATGTATTTTTGTTCAGAATTTGTAAACAAACATTACACAAATTATTTCCAATCATTTTTTGTTTGCTTCTTTTGATGAAGTCTTTTTAAATTGCTAAGCAGCAAAATGTAAATACTTAGGCAAACATCTGTCCATCCATCCATCTATCTATCTATCTATCTCTCTATCTATCTATCTATCTATCTATCTATCTATCTATCTATCTATCT